GCGTCGCGATGCGTCGCGATGCGTCGCGATGCGTCGCGATGCGTCGCGCCTCTGAGGTCCGGTAGCCGCACCAAGGCTAAAGGCCCAGGGCCCTTGAGTGCCACCTGCAGCCCAGGGCCTCTACTAGCCACCACTATATACTAGGCCTGGATCACGGAAGCTCTGAGAGCTCTCAAAGGGGCTAAGTCGGTTTTCCAGGCTCTGGTGACCTGACAGCTCTGAGGGCAGTTTGTGTGTGGATTTGTGTGGCTAGTTTGAGTGCATGAGGGTTGGCTAGTTTTGCCCTAGTATAGCGGAAGTAGTTGTAGAGAGTTGGGGTCAATCTCCCACTAAAGAAAACTTCAGACCAATGGTCATCTTGGGTTTTGGGCGGGTCAGTCTCTTTGATGTGATGTGACTGAGATTTTGCACCCAGGCTTATCTCCAGCTTGGGTTCGAGGTAGCTCTGGCTTAGAAATCCCTGGTCAACAGGTGAACGCAGCAAAAGTGAAAATGATCCTCTGCTTTCTTGGTGTTTTGTCTTTTCTTGTAAATTCGGGTTGAATGCAAAAGGGCCATGTCATGTCCTCAAAACTCGAGTGCTACAGGGCGAAAGGCGGCTTGGACATTGGCAATGTTTGGGTCGTTCCCCTGTGGTGAGCCGCACAGGCATGGAGAGCAAGCAAAACCTTCAACAGCATCAACATGCCCAGCCACACAGGAACACTTCACTATCGCGAATGTGGCCTCCAAGCACAATTGCCAACATCAACTGCATGGATGTGATCCAGCACAGTGCTATAGCCTTGTACGCAGACTTCTTCGAGATCCATTGTGGGGCGTTGAGTTCACCTTTGAGGTCCTTTGTGTTCTGCTCTGGGGCGTGTTGTCGATGAATACTATTATGCAAACTTGATTTCAGCTGGCATGCTCATAAATATATACTTGTAAACTTGTGAATAAGTTCTGGCCGGCAAGCACTGGCATTCAGAGCTGTTGAGTGGCAGATGCGATTTCGGGCTTTGTCACAAGTGCACCTTTATCACTTGATTCTGAATTGAAGGAAAACTTTTGGCTGGGCCGCTAATGGACGGTTGCGCCAGCAGTTGACGCTCTTCCCACACTCTTCTCGGGATTCTGCTGGCTTCACGTCATTGTGCTGAGGTTCAACTCTGCCTGCGGGCTGCTTTGGTTGTGGCCCTTGCGCCAGGTTGCACCCGGCATCGGATGTTGCACGGCCACGTCCGCCATGTCGTGCGGCGGATTCCCACAGTAGGGCAGTAGGGTTTTCACCAAAGGAGCCCTGCGCGCTCTCATGCGTCCGAGAAATGCGAGATCTATTTCGGTTGGAGAACTTCGCAGCAAGCCTGGCTCAGGGGTGCCAACTAGATTTGCTTTTACTGAGGAGCACCTACCTGGTGAAGGACTTCGCTTGGTTCTTTGGTCAAGCAAATGAAATAACTGAATAGCCCCGTGGTCCACCTCATCAAAAAAGAGGTGGAACTCCCTTGCTGCTTGCAGCGCTCCATTCTGCCTCGATAGCGACAGGATGAACAGATTTGCCATCAAACACTGCGGACTGCTGCATGCTGTGAATTGCAAGTAACTCTAAACTCTGTTTGCATGAAAGCCTTGACATTATTTGATGTAGCGAAGAATGAACAAAGCAGTGGGCTAGCAGGTCCGTTATTCACCGTGCACTTGACTGCCTATTCGGCTCTCATGATCTATGCAGCTAGTGCTAGTCTATGTTAACATGGGCTACAGTGAGAGAGAAAGAGAGTGCAAACATCACGGCACCTGGATGCAGGCATCACTCCAATTAGACCAAGCAGCGGATTCGTGGCAAAGGAATCCAATAAGCTGGGGCTCTTCGTGTCTTCATCCGTGACCTTGCCAGATGGCGTTGAACCATGAGGCAAATCAACGGAAGCCTAAGAACTAAGAGCTATTCAATGATTCATCACAAGAGATTTCTGAATCTCTGCTATCTAGCTAGTGTTGAATTGAAAAGTAGGCCAAAAGAATATGTATGAACCAGCGGGCCTCGGGATGTTTCAAGAAAATAACACCTGGTGAGCTAACAAGTCCAACTCAGGGCCAGGGCGAATCCTTTCGTCATGCAACAGTCTTGGCTTGCATCATTGAACAAGACTCTTTGCAAAGTGCATTCACAAGCCGACTAACCCCTCAGCATCCAGGCATTCTCGTCAACTGTGCGGAAGCGCAGGCCATGGGCCGGGCTCACCTGTCAAGTGTGGAGATCCACCACGAAAGATCTCATAAGTGGCTGGCTGGCATTGGCGCGCTGCCTCTTTTCTGTCTGCAAAATTCGTTGAAACAATTTTGGCCTGCACTTATATACCTCCAAAGTTGACTGTCTACTTTGCTGGCGGAATTGCCAAAGGCTAAATAAGTGCAGGACGGTATGCTAAGAAATACTGAGTGTCAAATGGTTGCAAGCCAAAAAAGACTGGTAGCCCATTCATACCCAACAAGCGGCTTATCTCAAAAACATCTTGATTCAACCCCCAGCGTGGTTGAGGTTTCAAAGGTCTTGCGCTCAGCTATCAACTCTTCTTCGCTTGGCAGCAGGTTCGTCCTTGCTGAGGTCGCAGGTTTTATGAGCTCAAAAACGCCGATCGCAGGCATTGTTAATTTAACCTGTTTAACCCTATATTGCCATCTGCTCAACCAAATGGACAAACAAACGATCCACCATTCCATTGAGGCATGATAACTTCAGCAGGGTAGAGCATCGCTCAAGGCAATGACAACTCAACCCCAGTCAACACGACCTTGGACGTGTACTGTATACTCCTTCTGGTTGAGGGGGTCCTCCTCTACGTGTTCTATCTTGTTCCAACTCCTCTCAAATGCCGAAGGTGGCCCAAGCTTCTTCTCGCTAGACCAGTTGCCTTCTGTTGGGCACGCTGGACACTAGTGACATCTAAGGACACTTATGATAAGCCCGTGTCAATCAACCAGCGGTTTGATTGATGTTACACTTGTGAATCGATGAGTCGATGAGCTCGTCACAAATGGCACTGCCGAGTTCTTCTTTTTTGAGGAGCAAAGCCAGACCATGAAGCGCCACTGCTGCAGTTGAAGGCTCTTGAGCTTGCGCTTGCAAGCACTGGATGTAGGTGTGCATGTTTCCTGGCCAACAAGCATTTATTGAACAGTTGGGCCCGGTTGGGCTGAAAGCAAAAGAGTTCCGCCCTTCTTAGAATCCTCTTTTGGCTCCCGAGGCCTGGGAAGGACTTGCAGCCCATGCAACTAACCGCTACCATTAAAGCAAGCAATACAACCAAGCATGCCCACCACTCCGCCTAGGTCCCAGCGCGTCCCCTCAATGAGCACGCCATCGACGCCTGCAGCAGAAGGACTCCGTGAAACTATTGAAACTCAACTACGACATACCCCAAAATCGGTCAAGTCGAAAGGCTTCCTGGGTGGTCAAGAGCACAACAAAATTAGTACTAAAGAGCCCCCTTATGGATCAGTGAGGCTTGCATTACCACCACGCTAGACATAAGCCAATGATCCACCATTTCAGTGACATGCAAGGACACACGTCGCTGAACGGAAGTTCAGGTCCAAACGTGCTTACACTTCGACGGTCACTGTCACCACGTCATACTACAACACTACATCAGATTAATTTCGCTGTACCACGTACACGCTGAAATCTGAGCAGCTGAACCTTGATTACACATGATTACACTAATCTTGATCTGGCATACAACTGGATACGTGAGACGGACTCCTCACCCCAACTCCCTCCTGCTTTGAGGTCGCAGATTTTTCAGAAGATCCCATGAAGTGGGCCAAAATATGTTGAACATCTTCAGTGAACAGTGAACCTGTGGCTCCGCAGACCTTCAGCTTGCCGCAGTTCATCCAAGATCTGGGTGAAGTGGCCGCCCTGCGCAGCAGGAAACCAATCGCCCAGCTTTTGATCCGCGCGGGTGAATGTGTTTCTTTGGTAGCATTGCAGCAGGCTGATTGAAAACTCCATGTTCTGCAGAATCGCAGGGCATCCAGGTTGGAGGCTACAAGTATAAGTTTACCCATAAGGCATAGGCCCATAGGCCATAGCATTGATGATCCAAACTGCAGCTCATACAGCAGCCTCAAGGAAGAGGAAATCCTAAACAAGTACCTGACCTACAACCTTCTCAACTCTCAACACTACACCTGTATCAAGCAACTCGTCAATGGATGCATCTTTCTGCATCATATGAGTGTGCGCGTGTGTGTGTGTGTGTCTATGTGTAATACAGTAATACAGTAAAACAACAAAATCTTAAATCCACTTCAAATGCCCCTGCCTTTCGAAGAGCCCTGAAGGCACTGAAGGTGAGGATATAGTGGCCGAAAGAGGCCAAGTATGTGCCTGGCTGCAAACTTAGAGGACTTGTCAGGATGCTTCGACCAAAGGAAGAGTTACCCCCACGTTTCCAGGTCCAACTGGTCTTTGCAGTCACACCTGTCTGTTCGAAGGACATTGCAAACTGGAAATCCGTTGGTCCTAATGACCGCAGCAGTGTCAGGAGCTGTCCTATGAACTATCATTGCTTTCTCTTGACGGTTCAAGGATGGTTTCAGGTGCCCGCCCTTCTGAAGGACAGGCATGTTGAAAGGAAATGAACCAATGCTGATTTGTTTGAAGCTCTTCTCCTGTTGCTCAAGTGCTGAGGCAGTTCATGCTTCAAAATGCACGACCCCTCTCCTGCAGGCAGCTTTGGCGTCACTAAGTGCTCTTCCGCAAATTCCCTCACGGGTGGCACACACCATCCAAGCTGTTTCCAACCCCTCGTTTGCATGGCACGTAATTAGTGGCATCGTGAAGAATCAAGCAGGAAGGTGTGTGTGTGTGTAAGGGGGCCTAAGGTGCTTAAACTGATATAACTATGCAGAACCAAAAGGTTTATCCTACTCTCTGGCCAGAACTTGAGATCCCGAAACATAAGACTCCGGGTTGGCATATCAAAGGCCTGAGACTCCAGGTTTGATATTGCAAAGGCACTGTCAACTTTACAAATACCCAAAATTTTGTCCTCCTGTCCATCCTTCACTGTTATGGGGCTACTGAAGAATTGTAGTTTGCGCCAAGTACTGGTAGATGTGTGGAATCTTCACAGGGTCAAACCCAATTTTCAGTCACCCTTAAAGTTCAAAGGTAGCTGGTATGCGTGCGTTCCTGTTCAGAGTTTTGCGTGAAGTATGGCAACATCCTGGTGTCTGTATTTGACATGATTGGCCCCAACAAACACTCTAGCATTGTCAGCAATTGTCAACTCACACACACACACAAATTGCAGAGATGTTTCACGCAATTCCCGACGCAGGCGAGGTGAGTACAGTTTAGCAACGCGTTGATCACGGAATTCCCTTCGCACCTTGTTGGCTTCTCAGCCAATCGGCTGAGCCTGGGGAAGCGGGCCGTGGTGCTCACATCCATTGGCCCTCAAGACAGGGTGTTGTGCAAGAGGGAAGACACACACCAGTGGCTTGCAAACCAACAAACCGGCCGTGTCTCTCTCCCAGCTCCTCCCGAATATTCATAGAAAGATGCAGCACACACCCCCTAAGTGGGACTAGCAACTCTCCAGCTTGATTGAAACGACATGGCAGAGTATGGAAAAGTCTCTCAGAAACTCATTCGGCATTGGGAAAGGTTCAACAGGAAGAAAGGGAGACGTTCAGCAACATCGCTGGTAACCAATTGCATACTCACCACACGGCCAGACACAGAAACAAACGAGACAACACCAGTGAAAAAGACCGAGAAAGCGCGAGTTGAAAGTTGAAAGACGAACAAGCACACTGTTCCGTTTCCTTTACCTCGATCGTTCGTTCAGCTATCTGTCAGCACACGTCAGTACAGCTGCCCCTAAGATGGCTGACTTACGTTCCAGTGACCTCTGGAAAATTCTTAGGTTGCGTGAGAAGGGCAACTGACATGGCAGCTGCACTCTTTCACTTGGCCATGTACCCCGCTGGCTGTTTCTCAAAGCTTGCTGCGGGGTAGGAAACTGTTCACCAAGGCTTGTCTTGGCAGCATGCCAAATGTTGTGTTTCAACAGCATCTCATCCTTGAAGCCCTGCGTGAAGAGATCTTGGAAATCAGTCTTCAATGGGAGAATCTGACTGACACCCCCCATCATGACGGCAGTATGGGTTGAACATGGCATAGAATCACCGGGGCTTTGCTGTGTCGAAGGGCGTCTCTCAGCCACCCAAAGCATGACTCCAGAATGGACTTGGTCACCCAACACCCTGCAAAGCAGGCGACACCGGCGACACCAAGGGCTTGTACTTCATCGTTCGTGACTTGATAGTCGCACTGGTAGACGCTGGTAGAGTTGCGCGATCATCTCTCTTGAAACCTGCCATTCGTGGCATGCCAGGCCTTCAGCTACTCGTTTGCTGGGCTTTCCAGGCTGGCTTTGACAAAGTCCAAGGCAAGCTGGGCTTCCATGAGTCTTTTCAAGTGATCACCCTCTATACACGCCATAGCAAAGCACGACAGAAACAGATGGAAAGACTGTGACCAACAGCGATTCCCCGCTTGCTCGCAAGCTAGGGACTGCAGATTTGACAGTGCACTGGGAAAGCCTGAGAACGCTGACATTTTTTATACATGAAGTCGGCATAGAAGAAGGCATAAACACTTGCCATATACTTGAACGCAGGCCCTTTTTGACATCAAAGGCGCGCTTCGCCTGCTCCAGGTTATGAGCCCAAGCGTGAAGCTTGGAGCATAGGTTTTTTCCAAGTCCACTTGACAAAGGGTCAGTGTTGGTCCCAATGGACGCGAACCCCTTCTGGAGCCAGAGCCTGAGAGATCAGGTCGCTTTGAGAAGAGCACGCCCAGCAGGACTCCCATTGGAAGAAAATTAAATCAAGACGAACTCCTGGTGGTTCCGGATGACTCGGAGGGGAGTGAAGATCACCTGAGCTCTGAGGAAATGGTGCAGGATGAGCAGCATGGACTCGAGATGCTGGGTCCTATGCTGATGGCGACGAGCTGGATGATGCTGAAGAAGAAGGAACTGGTGCAATCAATGCTGGTGGAGGACCTCAGGTACCAGAGGCGATGGCGGCGGCTGCGATCAATGCCAGTGAAAAGGAGAATGGTGCCTGGGAAGTGAAGAAAAGCTGCCGAAAGAGTTGCCACAGAATGTCATCGAGTCCGCGGGCTGGCCGACTGTGGATCAGGAACTGCATGGGCAACAACCGCTCAAGAAGGCCAAAAAGGGGGTGATGAAGAAGGCGATGGAAGTGAAGGAAGAGTTCAAATCGCCGGTTACAGAGATGTTCACACCATTTCACACCAATGAACTTCCACCTGTACCTACTTGGCCATGGCCGGAAAATAAAGTCCAATGGGGAAAGAACACGCAGTCAGAGCCTTGAACGCGTCCTTGCAGCAGGACCAACTGTGTGGAAAACCTATGGCTCAACGTGACCTTCATGAACATGGTCGTCATGGTGACTAGCGCCAACATGAACTTCATCTACGTGGACCGGGAGAATGTGAAGGCGGGGTTAATCGCCGACATGAACGAGCACTACGACATGGGGAGAAAGAGAGCGAATGTGACTGGAGAATGGCGGGCGGTGAGGCGATCCAGGAGTTCTGAGAGATCATCCATGGAGTGCTACAAGTCAACCAAGTGCTCCAAGCTGGCAGTTTTGGTGGCGGTGCACAAGAAGGATTGCAAGCGACTCGACTTCGATGGCTGGAAGGAGAGCTGACGGAGCTTCGCAGGGCGCCCGGATCATTTTGGAACCCAGAAGTGGCTCATTATGGAACATGGATCATTTTGGAACACAGAGGAAAAGAAAACTCTCCGGGACTTCAGTCTGACACCAATTTCGCGGATCGTTTTGGAACACACATCATTCGGTAGTGCTTCGAAGGTATCATTTACTAGTGAAAATGAGCGCTTCGTACGAGACTTCCTCCAAAAGTGAGCCGCGGAAGTCTCGAGAACGAGTGCTTCGTACGAGACTTCCTCCAAAAGTGAGCCGCGGAAACCTCCAGAACGAGCGTTTCGTACGAGACTTCCTTCAAAAGTGAGCCGCGCAAGTCTCCAGAACGAGCGCTTTGTACGAGACTTCCTTCAAAAGTGAGCCGCGCAAGTCTTCAGAACGAGCGTTTTGTACGACACTTCCTTCAAAAGTGAGCCGCGGAAGTCTCGAGAACGAGCGTGTCGTACGAGACTTCCTCCAAAAGTGAGCCGCGGAAGTCTCCAGAACGAGCGTTTCGTATGAGACTTCCGCACATGGTTGTAGTAATAACGTGCCTTGGGGCAGACTCAGAGCTTCACTTCTTTAGGGTCTCTTTTGGTTTTGCTTTGGGCTTCGCTCTTTTAGGGTTTCTTTTGGTTTGCCTTAGGGGTTGGACTTAGGCCTTCACTGGTGAGGGACTTAGGGCTTCACTTCTTTAGGGTCTGTGGTTGGTTTGGCTTAGGGATTTGCTGCTGCTTTAGGATGTCTTTGGGTTTGACTCAGGGCTTCACTTCTTTAG